GAGGGCAAAACTAAAGATGTGGGACTTGCATGAAAAATCTTATAGACAGTTATTTTTTTTCCTCTTCCTTTCTCTCACAGTGGGACAAATTCCACTTTTATTTCAGTTCATCTGTAAAACATGAGGAGCCAGCTGAGCGTAGCGTTGGTTCAGAATGAGGGCAGCTGACAAGGGAAAGGTAAAAGGAACTTGTAACTGCGGCAGTTCTCTCCAAGAAATTATTTCAATGCAAAAAAAACCCCCTCAAACTAACTTCCAAAGACTAGGGGAAGGCACTAGGACATCATCTAATATTCCTTGACATAGCAGAGTCCAAGTTGTAATTAATGCATTAGTCATTGCAATAGAGGCCATTACTTCCTGTTGTCTCAGGCTTTCTAGAGGTCTATGATGGCATTGTCCTCTGGTGCTTGCAGGGGCTGCAAACAAAAAGGGGGCACCTCTAAGAGGCTGGGAACAGTGTTAATGGTCAGAACATGGGTGCAGGTGGAAGAGCAGGACACAAAGAAGCAGCTTGGCTAGAAAAAGTTGGGACCAACTGCTTTAGTTCACACATAAGATGACTGGGGTATTTTCTTCTAGCTCCTACACCTCTTTATATATGTTGGAGACAAGTGTGTGGTACTTTGATTCAGGGACCATGATACCGAAAGAGTAAAGACTGCATTTTGCACACAAACTACTTTCTGAATGTTCCTTCAACCTCAAAGACTTGGAAATTAATCTTCAAGGCAAGCTGTAAAAGACTAGTTCATCAACAGTGTGTGACACTTCCCGTGGAGCACCCTGCTTCTCTCCAGCTCTACCTCCTTACTCCTGAAACCTCAGCTCTGGTTCTCCATCTCCTGACCGTGGAGTGGTCCAATGGCACAAGGCATTTCTCAGGGAACTCTCTCCAGCTCTACCTCCTTACGCCTGAAACCTCAGCTCTGGTTCTCCATCTCCTGACCGTGGAGTGGTCCAATGGCACAAGGCATTTCTCAGGGAACTCTCCCCCGTGGTGACACTGCTCAAGTGGAGCCTGAATCCCACCAGCAGGAAAGACCCCTCCCATCCAGGCAGCAGCACTGATCAGAGAGTTGGGACTCCCAGTATGTTACAATTTGCAAGTCTGCAGCTATTAGACAGAGAAGGATATTCCGAAACAGCCTAATTAGTTGCATTTTCTTCCCTAACCTCAGTCAAAAACCAGTCAGACTGTGCTTTAGATTTTGACATCCTATTAAATGCAGAACACAGGCCAATAGCTTTCATTTTCCCTTGTGATGCTACAGACTCTTGTTTTTATAGTTTGACAGAGAGACATAATTAGGCCTCAAAAAGGACAAGTCTAGACTATTAGTTCCCCACAGAGGCTCCCTGGAAAATCAGAACCCACAATTATTCTCCACTTTCCCACTGAGGCAAATTTGCAGATATCTGCTCTCCAGCCTCAGATACCCTGTTCACAACCTTTAAGCCTGTGACTTTACAGTCCTTTCACTTGAAAAGCACAAGGGAAGAAACAGAGAAGGATGCTGCCAGTGTTGGCCTTTCCAAAGGGACAAGAGCAAGTTAAGGACAATATATGGCATCGCTAATGCTATAGGTGTGAGTGCTTTTCAGTGCTGCAGCCAGAGGAGCAAAGAAAATGATTCCCATATTCCTGCCCCCTTTATTGCTGCCCAGTAGAATTGGGCTTTTTTAAAAGAAGTTCAGCTTTTCATCTCCATCACAGGTAAAATCAAGCAGACACAGATCAGCAGACTGAGCATGATTCCCTCCCTGGTAGCACAGCAGCCGTCAGCACGGCATGGCATCTGGTGACACTTGTTCACTGGGGCCCTTGCCCAGTCTCCTCCTCTGCTTCTGAGCTACCAGCAGCTTCACTTTTGGGTTCTCAGGGAGCAGATTCAGTCCCTGACTGCTGCAGTCTCTCCCGCACAGGCAGTCCCTCAGGCTTTCTTTGTCAAGTGGTACATACCAGCTCCCCTCTGCTCTTAGTTTCGAAGTGCTTGGATGGTGTCTGTACCTCTCCTGTTGAGCTGCAGCCTTGGACACACCTGATTCAAATGAGCTCTCAGCTTCAATATGAGCACGGAGCGCTGGCCCTTTGTTTTTGCAATAGCATCATATTTCAGATGCATCTTCAGTTTATAATCCCCAGTAATCCTCAGATCCTGCTGTGCCAAGCCAGCAGTCCCTAATTCTATGTAAACCATTCTACAGCTGTCTTTATTATATCACATGTTACTGTTTTCAAGCCATTTCCCCAATCTATCAGCATTGTATTGAATTTTAATCCTATCTTCTGAAGTGTTACTCAACACATTGCCTGGGAATTCGACTCAAAAGGAGCATCAGCTCTGGTTCCCTCTTGCCACCTGCCTCCCAGCACTAACCTCGGTGCCCGGTCTGTCCCCCTGCCAGGGATGTGCAGTGCAAAATACGCTGTTGGTACCTTTTTTCTTTCTTGCAGTGTTGTCCTTTCCTATGTGAGACGCCAAACCTACTCAAGACTATTTTTGCCCCATGGAAAACACTGGAAATACTGCAGAAATGAGCAGAAATTCTGGGCAGAGCTTACTTGCCTCTCAACAGGTGCAAGAAAACGCCTTCCATTTCTAATAAGCAAGTTTTATTCCTCACTTTGGCCATGGGTTATCTCACCCCTACTAGTGCAAACCAAAGCACTCCATCACCAGGGGTGTGCAGTGGTTAAATGTCCCCATTGCTGACACGGGCACCTTTTCGGGGCCAGAAGGACATGGAGAGCTGTGCAGATGCCCACTACAGCACAGCGCCCTGTAAGCACTCCATGAGCCCGGCTGCTTGTGCTCAGCCTCTCAAGCACTCGGTGGAAGTAAAATGCTTACACGATCCCTCTCCCTACAAGGCCTTGAAATCTTTAGGGGGCCTGGCTTTGCTGCCTGGTTTTCAATTGACAGACTGATAGAGACATCACAAATCTCTCCAAAGGCCAGTCACTAGGCTTCTTTCAACATCAAAGGGTGTCAATGTTCACTCTGCCTCGGAGCCTGGGGCACTATAAATCACACATGAATAGGTGAACTGAGTGTTTGAGGTTAAATTCTCTCTGTATATACAAATATTTCTCCTTGGGTAACTGATATTATTGTGGTGTTCCCCTGTCAACATCAAATATTTTCTATAAGTCGTAATATTGCAAAGCTTTATAGATGAAAAAAATAAGAAGGATGAACTAACGTGGGGAGAGAATTAACTTATTTTAAATATAATATGTCATTTTCTTGTGAAAAAAAAAACCAGTTAAACTGAGGTTTAAACTGAGTGAAAAAAAAAAACAGTTAAACTGGGGTTTCTGTTGGGTTCTTCCAACATCCATAGTTAGGTTCATGTTCTCTTTGACTAAATTGAGTCTCTGGTCTTTGGGATGCGAACTGCCTTTCCCGGAGCAGATCCAGTATGTTTCTTCCCAAAATCACTTGACCCTGGCCCAGGCTCCCAGCTGCCCCTGGAGCACCAGCTCCCCGCCCCGCACAGCGCTCGCAGCCGGTCGGTGTGCGCCGGGCTGCACAGATGCCGTCTCCTGGCTCAGGTCATCAGCTGGAGAAGGCAAAACCCAGCCTGGGTGGTGGCTGTTTGGAGAGTCTGATTCACCCTGACTGGCACAGTTGTGGCACCTCGGCGGGGGGGCTCTGCCACCTCCAAACAGGAGACGGGACAGCTGGGGCTGTCAGTAAATTACACTGCACAAAGATAGCTCTGGTGCCTGCCTCGCCTTCTGCAGGCAGGGCCCTGGCAGGAGCTCCCGTGTCAGTGCTACATCAGCACATTTGCACGACGCCCACGCCGCTGCCAACTGGCCCTGCCTGCTCCCAGCAGCAGTTGCAAGCACCTGATGCTGCTGCGGAGAGAATTTGGTCCAGCATCTTGCAGAGTATTCAACAGATCATCCCATGGGAGAGAGTGCCAAATCCCCAGGGGTTTTGCTGTTCCCGGGAATGAACCAGCTATTCAATTCAGGCCGTTGGCTCCTCGATAGACTCGCTCAGCTCCAAACCTCCCCGCGTCTCGCCTGCACTCTCAGCAGCTGGTTACATCCCCCTGGTTGGGCAGGGCAGGGATGAAGCAGCCTCTGCATCCTCCTGCACAGCACAGCTCACCCTCCCTCACACCAGAGAGGGACTTTTCCCTTGGGCAGCCACCCAGCCTCCAAGCCTCCAAGGCTTCACGCCAAGCAGAAACAGGAGCTGAGAAACTACCTGGTCTTAAACGGTGTGGGTTTAATGAGATATTTTTTTTTTTTATGACCTCTGCAGTAAATTGCCTGGGCTCAGTATTGTGTTGGAGTAAGTAACACCCGGCACAAATTGTAGCGAGGCAGTAATTGCGGAGTAGCTGTCTAAGATCTCCGTGCCATCAGGCAGGGATTTTTATTTCATACATTAGTCACAATTTGCTGTCATAGCTGCATATGATCAGTACATCCCTTTGAATGGGAAGAAGGAAAAGGGGGAGAAAGCTGCCTGACTCTGGGGAAATGCGTGGGGCTGCTGTGGGTTGTGTGTTTCTCCCCTCACCCCTCCAGCCAGCCCGGGGCTGCATTGCTACTCGAGTCACATACCCCTTAACACAAACTCAGGGATTAAGACTGGAAAAACATGTTTGCTTGCCCATTTCTGGGAGGTTTTAGTGAGCATCAAGTGGATTATACACCACATTTTCCATTATTGCCGCTGCCCAAGCTGCAACTACGGCAAATTCCCAACCATCCAAATGCAAAGTATCTTTTTTAATGGAAAGCTGTTCCTTAGAAATATAGACTCCTAAAAGGGATCAGGAGGAGCGTCTCTCTGCTTTGCTCACTGTTGCCATATAAAATACATTCTCTTACAGCATTACAGGTATCTCAGAAACAGTCATTTTTGTTTCATGCTGCACTGGTCTGCTTCCTTCTCACACCAAAATGTCCTCTTGCCCCTCAGGACCGTGTTTGTATTTTGATTACTGTCAAACGCACCAAGCAGTTTCCCTACCTTCAGATCCTTGAGCTTTTGGATGCTGTATCCCGAGTTGGTTTTGGTCCCTGATTCCTCCCGCTGCTCCTCGTCGTCGCGGCCGTCACAGTGCGAGTGAGGCTGTGAGCTGTGGGGTGGGATCTCCAGAGGTTATCATCAGGATGTTCTGGCAGGAGACACAGCCGTATCAGGGACAGGCACGCAACCTGGAAGGGCAAATTGCTTCTGTCATGTGTTGCTAAACCAGCCTGTGCTCCGGTGAGCAGGGGACAGGCTGGTGTCATTAGACAGAAAGCAGCTTGAAAAGTCAGAACTGATGGCCATCAAAATTCCTACAGCACCTGATTGGTGCAGGAGATGTTCATCACCTCAATCCTTCAAAGCCAGCATCCACAGCTGGAGAAGAATTATGCTCTGGCACCCATAATTTATCTTTTTTTAAGGTTTCAGGCTGTAACTAGTGGGGGAATTGTGCTTCACCAACAGCCAGAGTATTTACACCTTTCTGGTCCGTGCTCCTTAGATGTTCATAGTGAGCCCATCACCCTGGTACCTCCACACCCCCATCCCATCTCCAGCCTTTCACACAGCAAGGGAGAATGGCTTTCTCTGAGATTTTAAACAGCCTTAAAAGGACCATCAGGGGATTTTTCACTGATTTGTGTCCCCTAACGCAAAATCATGATGTGAAAATCTTCACTTTTCAAATAGTGTTTGACTCTTTCTGGGTTGTTTTTTTGACACACAGTCTGCTCAGCTGCAGTCAGGGAATGATTACCTTGCAGAAGTTGTACCTTGTCCATCGACTCGCTGGGCCCATCTCGTGTCTAGCTGGAAATCTGCATAATGAGAAGAAAGCCATTTTCCTCGCAATCCATTCTCCTGTTCAAAGCTTCTCATGTGCCAGGTTGTTGTTTTTTAATCACACAAAATGGTATATATTAATGAGCTCTGAAGTTACATAAAGATAGATCTAAAGCATAAAAACACTAATATGCCCTGTAGCATTCAGTGCTTTGAACATGGAATGGCATCTGTGTGAGAGTGTGATTGCACGCAGCTATGGAAACCAGTGCCAGAAAATGAGGAAATGCTGAACAAGTGGTGCAAGATTGGAAAAAAACTGGGAACAAAGATATTCAATTTGCATAAAAAGGCCTAGTTTGCTGCAGCCTGAATTGTGCAACTTTCTGCTTTTAAATGATTATTTTCTGGTTCTGCTGGCAGTGTGTAGATTGTCTTTTTCCTGAAAGAAAATTGCCCTTTCCCTCCAGCCTCCATAATAGCGGGTGAGCCGGTTCCCAGGTCAGATGTGCTATTCCAAACGGGACAAGTTTTGCAACCGTGGAAAAGTGCAAGGCCTTTCCTCGTCTCTGCGTTCATCCTGAGCAATTTCCTTCTCATTTCCAGATGGTGCCAATTAAGAGTTAGAACCCTTGCCCTAACGGTTGTTAACAAAACAAGCACAATCTGAGACTTTAATGAGTAAAACTAGAGTCACATAATATGCCCAAGAGAAGCCAAAATGAAAAGAACGATTGCAGTTGGCAAACACTTAGGTTGCTGGATCTTAAAATGGTAAAATGCAAGGGTTGGAGATTTCAGTTTTAATACTGAGGGCTGCCTTCTACTGCCGAGTTCAGCGGGATTTATTTTGGGGCTTAAAGATAAGCACTTGGATAAACCATTCCAATCAGTGACTGAGGCAGGACTTAAACAGTAAAGCCGGGCCATATGTAATTCATATTAGAAGGTATTTTTCTAATATATTACTTTCATTAATCAGTAGTTGGTAATTAGGATAGCATCCATGCTTTCAAAAAAAAAAAATCACATAGTCCTGGTTAGAAAAGCTCACCATCAAGATGTAACAAAACCCACCAGCTAGAAATGGAAGCTACATGAACTTGGGCTACAAACCAGATTTGAATGTTTTATGTCATGGGGGAGGCAGTTAACTCTCTTCACAGATGACCTAAGAATACAATGTGTGATCTGTCACTTGAAAACCTCACCTCAAAGGTAAAGCACCTATCTAAAGAGCATTCTCCACCTCAGCTATTTCTCTATTTGCATATTTCTGAAAATATTGCTCTGGATGTTTTAGTTCTTGGGGAGCAAACCTTAAGCTTGCCCTGTTTGTATCGCTTACCTTTTCCTGACTCCACCCAAGTCGTGAATTCTGGGAGTTGTGATATTCGCTCTGAAAAAAAAAACACAGAATCATAGAATGGTTAGAGTTGGAAGGGACCTTAAAGAGCATCAAGTTCTAACCCCCCCTGCCCTGGCAGGGACACCTCCCACTAGAGCAGATTGCTCCAAGCCCCATCCAGCCTGGCCTTGAACACCTCCAGGGATGGGGCAGCCACAACTTCCCTGGGCAACCTGTTCCAGTGTCTCACCACCCCCACAGTACAGAATTTCTTTCTAGTATCTAATCTAAATCTTCCCTCTTCCAATTTAAAACCATTGCCCCTTGTCCTTTCAGGGAGTGCCCTGACAAAGAGTCCCTCCCCAGCTCTCCTGTAGCCCCTTCAGATATTGAAAGGCCGCTATAAGGTCTCCCGGGAGCCTTCTCTTCTCCAGGCTGAACAACCCCAGCTCTCTCAGCCTGTCTTCATAGGGGAGGTGCTCCATCCCTCTGATTATCTTCATGGCCCTCCACTGGACCCATTCCAGCAGATCCATGTCCTTCCTGTGTTGAGGACTCCAAAGCTGGACACAGTGCTCCAGGTGGGGTCTCACGAGTGCAGAGTAGAGGGGCAGAATCACCTCCCGTGACCTGCTGGCCCTGCTTCTCTTGATGCAGCCCAGGATGGGGTTGGCTCTCTGGGCTACCAGTGCACACTGCCGGCTCACGTTAGGCTTCTCATCCATCAACACCCCCAAGTCCTTCTCCTCGGGGCTGCTTTCTGGCCATTCTCTGCCCAACTTGTATTTGTGCCTGGGGTTGGCACGTCCCGGGTGCAGGACCCTGCACTTGGCCTGGTTAAACTTCATGCCATTTGCACAAGCCCACCAATCCAGCCTGTCCAGGTCCCTCTGGATGGCATCTCTTCTCTCTAGTGTGTCGACCACACCACCGACTTTGGTGTCATTGGCAACCTTGCTGAGGATGCACTCCATCCCACTGTCCATGTCTCCAACACCATTTTACTCAACCCAAAGTTCTGATGTTGATGGAAAATTAACTGAAAAAATCCCCCCTGTGTGGTGGAAGGAGTCCTTCTGACAATAAGGTCTATATATAGTCCATATTTAATATGTTGGAAGTGCAGTCTAGAGGAGATAAACCAAGTAAATGTTTGGATAATCTTTTGCTATAATAATTTAATTTTGTGTTGGGAAAAATACTGTGGTATTTTTATATTTATTTGAAAATGCAGGATTTTTTTGGTATGAGCGTATTCAAAGCCTGAGCACACACCAGCTGGTAGGATTCTGCATCAAAACCCATACCATGCCCATCATAGCATAAGCCTGTTAAAAAATGAAGGAAGAAATACAAATATTTCAGGCTCCTCTTCTATGCTAATTTACAATACTTGCCTTCTTTCTTCCATGAAACACCAGCACAGAGCAGAGCAGGTTGAACTTGTTTACATCACACAAGATGCTCCAGTCTTTGTAGGAAACCTTCTAGTCTGCTGGCCAAGAGGTGGCACTAAGAAACACACTGTGCTGTGATAATTAAGAGAGGGGTGGGCTTTTCCCCCCTGTCTTCAGCTCTGATCTGCACAAATGTTGCTGCTCTGAGCACATGACAATAAACAAAACCCCGTTCAAGTTTCTCAGCACACTCTGTACTTTGGGTATATGCTGCATCGTGTTGGGGCTTTGTTAAAGAACTGGTGCTTCCCCTTCCAAGGGGAGCTGTAACCCCAACGTGCAAACCTCTGAGGTTGCCCCTCCATCACTCAGAAGCACTCTCTTTATCTGTCTTTCTCCTGCACTGCTAATTGAGAAGCCTGTGAACGTGTTCAGGTGCTCACTCGGGAGTGAGATCACCAGGCACTTCTGGCCAGTGCAAACAAGAAACAGTCGCAACAATCACTTGTAGCACAAACTGATAAATTCCCTCGTTGCTTTAATTCTGCATCAAAATTTGAGATGACTCAAGCAGTTTGTGTCAGCACACATTATAACTGTATTCCTCCCAGCTCAGCAGAAGAGATGGACATCCGTGGTGAGGGGTGGGAAGGCTCCGTGGGCAGCTGTCTCATCTGCCAGCTTCATACAGAACATGAAGCTTCGGGGCCCTGCAGGTTACAGCAGGGCACACAAGTGGAGGTGCCCTCTGTGGTAGCACGCCCTGTCACAGCAGTGGCAGCCATGCAGTGGATCAGAAGAGGTGGGAATTAATGAAGAACACGGGAGGTAAGAGCAGTGATGTGGGGGCAGACCAAAGGTCCATCTGCCCAGGGATTTCAGATGTCCAACAGAAAGTACAGGGAAGGAGCAGGTATCATAGGAGAGTATTTTGTGGCACACTCTCCCAGAGGTTTCCTGAACAGAGATGCCAGCAGATCATCAAGTGTAACACCCACCAATTTCCAGGTGGAGTCTCCTCCTTAAATCTCCTTTTCTCCCCACCCTGAAACCACGAGGCTTATAATGTGGCTTGGGAAGCAAAGCAGACGTGCTTCCAGCCTGTCCTGCAGAGGATAAACCTTTGCCGTGGCATGAGAAGATCCAGGGTAAAACCTTAAACTGAAAACTCCCTCTGAGGAACGTGTAGGTACTCATAAAGTCCTAATTGCCAAGGAGTTTTCTGAGAAATTCATAAAGGCCATGGCAGTTCTGACAATGAGGCAACTCCCTGAAGCTCAGAGTTGACGTCTGCTTCCCAAACTCCAGGAAGATAAAACTGGGTATTTCTCAGCCTCCCCTATAGTTTGTGCAGCCTTCAAGGTTCTTCCTTGCTGTTGTATTTGCTTTGTCATTTATCACCAAGATGAGACAAGGAACATGAGAGAGATTCAGCAGATTACAACGGAGCAAACAAAAAAGAGGAGTCAAGGAAGGTAGATGGGAAAGATCCTTCAGTTTAGGAGGAAACGCTGGTGGTTTGTGCAGGCACAAGGAGGCGGTTTAGAAAGCATATTAATACCCTGCACAGGGATTTCTGAGCCAACAAGCTGAGCTGTGCTTCGTACTGCAATCAAAAAAATTAGAGGCAGCAAAAGGTTACATCATCCAGGTCTTAAGCCAGAGATACACGTACTAAAAAATGTGGCACATGGTTAAATGCTTTGCTAGGTCAGAGACCTAATTTGCTCCCTGTCAGTAGGGCTGTTCTCTATCATGGACATTGTTTGGGCTAATTAGACTTTGCTCCTGGCCATTGCAAGAGCAAAACCCAAGGCATGAATCCTCTGGCACTTCTGAGTGCTGTCAGCACTTTGCAGATAACAACAAATAATAATAACAACCTTTGTGTTTGAGGTCTGTGCTCGGGGTGGTTTCAGGGGTGATCAGATGTGGCAGGGAGATTTCCAAGCCAATCAGGACAGCCCCAGCCCAGCGCGAAAGATGCCCCAGATACAGATCTGCATCCAGAGTTATTTTTGCGCACTTTTTTACCTCCCCTCCGCCTCCAATTTCTAAGCGTTCTTACGGCTCATCCTTCCCCGATTCTTGCAATGGAGATGCTAAACTGTCTTCGCTGAGTCTGATTTTAGGCTATTGCATGACTAATTTGCATTCACAATTAACTTGGGTGCATCTGCACAGTGGCTGATGGTCATTAAGGTGCTCTCCTGTTCCTGGGCTCACCTGTCCCTTGCAGCTGGTTTGCAAACTTGTGAGGAAGGGACCGTCTCGCAGCGTTCCGTGTGTGCGGTGCCCAATTCCACTTCCCCCTGAGCAGGCAGCAGCAGGGCTGCCACACAACCATTACTAATGCCAGGCTGCTCGCTGCACACGCACATTTGACACATCATTGGGCATAGATTTTGCGCACGAAATTCCACAATTCCTTTCCTGACAACATGCTCCTTCAGCGCCGCTTTGCTTTCCGAGATCCAGATTCATTTTTGAAGCCAGCTGAAACGTCTCCTATTCCGTCACATAATAAAGAAGCTTCATTTGCATAACTTACTACAGTCATGTATTAAAGACCAATAGCATCTGATTATTAACAATTAAAGTTTGTTTGCTTGTCTGCCTTCCCCCTTAGTCTTTTTTAAGCTGTTTGCAGGCTGAGGCTGCAGCTTCTGGCTGGCGCGGGCCCGGCAGGCACGGCTGTGAACACTAGATGGCACTTTGCAGCAAGAAAGGTTGAGAGTTTACGCAACCAAATGAAAATCTCATTTATTGCCCTCATTCACAGGGCAAGAGTTTGTTCTCACCATGTCCTCGCCACCTCGTTGGTCCTAACTCAGTGTTTAGTCCAGAGAGAAAAACCTGACAGGTTCCCAGACAAATTCTCGCCTTCACCAAAGGATAAACCTCTGGTGATGTGATTATTTCATGATGAGCTCTACCCTCTGTTAATATCAAACTACTTTGTGTTTGCCTCAAGTTGGAGCGTACGGAAGGAGCATCTGTGTGATAATGGCTAGGCATGACCTCCAAAAGCTGTAAATCTTCCTCCCAATTAAAAGACAAAAATGGACCCAGCAATGACCTTGTTGACATTTACCAAACCACAGCATCAGAAAATGAGGTTGCTACTTCAAGTTTATAGATTGCTCCTGCCTCTCATACCGGGCTCTGGCTGGTACTTCTTGGATCATTTCAAAGGGCCAGATGTTGTCCTCGGTTCATACCTGACATTTGTTGTCCCAAGGGAGCAGAATGATGCTGTGTTACTCACAGCCATGCTGCAATGGAGCAGAGAGAAAATGGTCCAGCTGGGCAGAATGGACTCCTCCTTGAAACGGCGACAGGGAGACATGCAGGTGCCTCAGACTCTCCTCTGGGGTTGGCTGAGGACAAGGAGCTGCCCTTTTCCCTGGTGACACCTGGAGCTGGTACGAGGGCCAGCAATCATGGGAACGTGGCTCCTTTTATTTATCCTTGAGGCTACACTGGAATAGTAACCCACAGCCAGCCTCAGCCTGCCTTGCAGAGCAGGTACGTGAGCATGGTCCGGAGCATCCTCCTCCTCCTCTCCTGGAAGCTGAGGTTTTACTCCACCTTCTCCCAAATCTGGCCTCCAGGCAGCACCCAGCCCAGGGAGTACCCTGCAACTAGGGCAGGAAAGCAGGCTGGGGCCACAGTAAACAACCTGCTGCTGTCTGGTTAGGCACAAGGGTAAACAGCCAGGGATTCCACAGCAAAGGTGATGCACAGAAGGATCGAGATTGCTCTCAAGACTCCAGTTATCCATGGAGAGCTGCAAGTGCCCACCCTCCCCACATCTGGGTCCCTCTGCAGGGAGCTGGGTGCCACACGGCTGGCAGGGCATCGCCTACTGCAGGAAAGGCAAAGCTGGTGAGGACTGGCTCTATGTGCAGAGAGCAGAAAGGCCGTGTCCTGCAGCGCAGCGTGCAAACAGCCACACTGCGGGCCTTCCTGAGCTGATGCCCTTCTTCACCTCTTCCTCCAGACATCTCCCAGATAACATCCAGGGTAAATCTCCCACTAGTGCTACTTCACCTGTTCTGGAAACCTTTTTCCCTCCTTTTATAGCCATTATTCCTTCATCCTTTAGATAAGGCGTCCACCTCAGCTGGCTGTCAACTGTTGCAACTCCCTTAGAGCAGCAGTGCTCCTGCCCAGCCTGATCTTTCCCAAGATCTTTCTTAGCTACTTTCAAAACAGACAATGCACTTCCCACCTTTTGTAGCTTTAGCTTTCTCTTTTAAATAAAAGATTTCTACCTCTTTGAAGTCAGCACCTGGTTTATTTTTTTTGTCCTCTCATCCTTTCGTATCTCCTCACCAAGGATGGTGTTTCATTGCTTGGAAGTATTTCTTCTCCCTTCCTCCATCAGATCATTCTACCAGGTCCTCTTTTTTTTCCCCAGCCACCAATCAGGAAAGCAACTTGCTTTCCCCCAAAGTCTCAGCTGTGCAGTTTCTGAATTAGCCAAGAGATCAGAAGAGCTGATCACACATCTGCACAGGTTCCCTGTATTCCATAAACAGATGGATGATTCTCAAAAACAATTCCAGTTTCTGATGCTACCACAAATATTTTTCTCCCTTAATTTAGTAGTTTGAGTTGACATTACTCTCTTTTGTTTTGTTCTGCTTTAATATCGTTTCCTGGCTCCTCAGACAAATTCCAGGCGAATTCAAGAGGACTTTTGTCTAAGGACTGAGTAGACATCTTGAAATTGTGCCCCGGCCCCAGAGCCATGGTACAGCACCAGTAACTACCAGTACGCTGCTGCTGGCCCCCACTGTTGGCATTGGCTTCATCTGTGATGGCAGAGACAGTGAAACAGAGTGAGATGATCACAGAAAGGCGCTGCCCTGGAGCCTGGATGGGACCAGCAGCACCAGTGCCACCAGTCCAGCGTGGGACCGGCCTGGCTCACCGGCCGGGGGGATGAGGGGAACCTCCTGCTCCCAGTCCTCCCTGGGAGTGAGATGCAGGGCTTAGAGTCTGGCTGGCCAAGGAGCTCCTGGCTGCCAACTAACGCTCACCCATGAAACACCCACGCAGGGCCTCAGCCAGCACCGTCTGTGCTTAAAAAAACCCCTCTCCAAACCAACCAACAAACAGATCTCGTAGCATATTCTTCCATTCTGTCTCGTCACAGACTCTACCCTATTAACCTAATAAAGACGCTTCAATCTCCTTTCAGTTCAGGAGAATTCTCCCCATTGTTTCCACAGAAATCTCTCTGGATGTACTGCCAAGAGCGTGCGTTTGCTGTCGCGTTCCAAGTTGCTTGAAATAACAAAGAATTACCCTCACAATTAAGATCAGGCTGTACAATTTAGATACGTTCCTTAAAAGAGTTATTATTCTCTGCCAGAGATGTATTGTTCTTCCCCATTTAATTTTATTTACTTTTTTTAGTGGATGCAACAGTTATGCTGTCATTTATCGGAGAAGAAGGAAGCAGCAGCTGCAGAGCTGTGTATATAAAATAAACACAATGTGGATGAAGCTATCAGAAGCTCAGATTTCAAGGAGGTGAGGGGGAGGATTGCTTTTAATAAGATCTCGTGTCAGTAAAGTTGTGAGATGGAACGGCGGGGTCTTACCCTATTAAAAATAAGAGTGGGAACAGATTCTTTTATTTAATGGAACAGCAGTGTTAGCTGCATGCGTGCAGACAGAGGGCTTAATTTAAAAAGTAAAAAGCAATTTGGTCATTCATGTTCAGACTTTGGGCACTCTGCAGAACGTGCCAAACGCACTCATTTCTTTTTAACCCTTTGGCTGCAAGACCTGTACAGTACAGAAGAGGCAAAGCCAGGGTGTACTTATTTATCTCGTTGAACAGCCCTATTTTTTAATTCCTTGCCCGGCTGATCCTGGGAAAGGCAGGTGGGAGGCAGCGTCCCGCTCCCAGCTCCGACGCTGCTTTGTTGGGTTAGCTTGGGTGAATTGTTTCACTTGCCATCAGTACAAACACAGATGCCGATGCTATCAATGGCTGCTACTTGTTTGTTTATTCATCTGTATGAAGCCGGTGACACCCCCAAGCAGGAGATCACCCAGAGCAGAGGGCTGGACGAGAGCCAGCTGCAGTTGTACTCCCCAACAGGCCATCACATGCCGTGACACGAATCTGCCCCATCCCTCGCACGCTCGGGCGGTGGCGGGATGAGGCAGGACGCCTCAAACACTCCGAGTCCATGTAGCGCAGCCTGGCAGGACGCCTCAAACACTCCGAGTCCATGCAGGCACAGTGCAACGTCTGTCCTAAACCCAGCAGAGGCAAGTGCAGACCCCACAGTGAGGGGGACGGTGGCCCCAGGGTGTCCCTTCAGGCAGCTGCACCCCCAGCCTGCGTGCACGTCGCTTTGTGCACCAGAACTAAGGAGTCCAGGGAGCCGAGCCAGCCAAGCACGAAATCAGGTTGGATGAACATCCTTAGCGCAGGTGTTTTATAATAAAGCTGAAACCATTTTGTAATAGAGCTAGATTCCCCCACAGGTGATAACAGTAATAACCCACACGCTCCTGCGGTGTATCACCGTCTGTCAGGCAGCAGACCTCACTCGAGATGGAGCTGCACGAGCTCTGGACAACTCTGAACCAACCAACCACAGCTGTCTTTTCCTAAACATTCCTACACACACACACAAGCAGTTCTATTGCGGGCATTATTTCAGTAACAGCATAATTGTGCAAAATATGTAAGTATTTTCTATAATTGTATAATCAGTATGTAATTATATAGAGTAGAAAATATAAACATATATTAAACAGGTGAGTGCATTTATTATTCAAATACAAATTTCAGTGGTAACTGAAATCGCGCCAGTTTGTACGTGTGTGTAATTAATAGAGGACTGGAATGAAATAAGTTGCATTTGTATAAATACCTGCTACAGCTAAGGCCACCTCTGGAGTATGAGATCACAGGGACACCGTCAGAAGGCATCAGGAGCCAGCAGAAGTGCAGCTGCATTAGAGGCCTGTCGCCAGTTCAGGGGAAGTCTCTCTCTCTCCCTCTGCTGAAAAAAAACAACAGCGTTAACAAAAGGAAATGGAGCTTCTTTTGTGCAGTGGCACCTGCACCGTGAGCCCTCCTCGTGCAGAGTCTGGTGACCACAACCTCTCACACCAGAGATTGTGAAATCACCATCCAGCCCTCTTAGACCCAACAACCTGATCTGATAAAAAGTATCACAGAAATTCTGAAGGAAAAGGTTTTAGATCTTTGACCTCCTTTCACTCGCCTTCTCCTGCCCTCCCCTGCGGTCGGCCACGGGAGGCAAAATTAGGCCTCCAGGTTTGTTTCTCATCTAGAAGAGCCATATTCCAGAAAAACAAACCCATTAGCCCAAGCATCTTCCAAGAGAAATATCTTATCAGGGAACGGCTCAGGGATTCAGCCTTCAACAAGGACTGTGCTTTGATCACAGATGGGATCTCGGGAACTGCACTAAATCACAGATGGTATATTTTTTCCTATAATTCACAAAATGGGCTATTTCCACCGCTTGCTGGATTTTTTTCCCTTCTCTGATTTTTATATTTTGCACATGGCAATTGCAAACATGGATACAATTTTTTAAAAGGGCCCTTGAAAACATTTTCTTTTAATGATGCATGTAATCTTTTCCTGTTCGGTAAATCTAACACCAAAATGTCATTCTTTTCAGAAATTAAAACATACTTAATTTTAATAGGATTGCATTTATGTTTTATATGCTTTGCTTATTTATATTCTGTGTCATTTCTATTTTCTTGGATAAGCTTCACATTCCCTTGTTATCTCTTGAAATATTGCATCAGCCACAAGCTACTGCCTACATCAAGATGTGGCAGTTTCTGCTACTGCCCATTCGTGGGCCACGGGCAACTGGTGGATCACACACTCGTGCTCCTCATGGTCTGTGTTATCTTAATTCTGAACCGTGACCAGCTGAAGACAGCAGCATAGCTCACATTCACCCCATCCAACCCCAGACCTGGACTGGGGTGATATATTTAGGCACCCTGTAAAATCCCTGTGCAGCCAGGGGAAGATGGAGAGAAAGGAGCATCCCCCAGCACATCACGTTCTTTGGAGAAGTCTCTCTCTGGTGTCTGTGTAGGGAGCCTAAGGCAGGCAGGTACTTCACCCAAGTTGGGGAAGGAAAAGGAATTTGGACATCCTCCAAACAACTTAAGTCTTAAAACAACAGATGGAAACAGAGAGATATGGGGGTCCACGAACAGTCAATGAGATTGTGATATGAGTTTGCATAATACACGCCCGTCTCTGCACACTGGTGAATCTCCTCTTTCTGGCTGCTAAGTGACAGCAAAAAAAAGCCAAAATTACATCTAATACTTTCCTGAAATTGCTTCATTGCTTTTCCATGTAAACTGCCGCTATAGCTGGCACAGAGTTTTTATTTGTTTGCTGGTAGGAGAGGAGGACAGCCTGTACAATATGAATAAGAGAAAAGGCACCTACGAGCAAATCTCTCTGTTCAGCCACGATCCAAAAAGATTTAGAGCTCCACATGTTGATCATCAGTATGGTAACAACCAGGCTCCTACCAGCATTCTGCCGCGATCCAACTTCAGGGGATCCTCTTCTATATTCATTTAACTTTTCCACCTCATTTGCTATCACAAGATGCTCAAATGCTGTTGTCATTTTGTTTCTGTTTTGTATTTACTGATGTTATCAAATATCACACTTCACTGGAGGGTAATCTAAACAGCATTTCATGCCCTCTTCAGTACGGAGCTGCTCAAACGTTCACGTGTCAGCCCCAGAGCCAAACAGCAAGTCAACCCTTGACTCCATGCAAGGCAATGGTAATCTTTCCACGTGGCTTTAAATCAGCCTTTTTTGAGATTATTTCTAATTCACATTAACTCAGGATTGAATAATCCTTTGGCACCGATGAGAGCTCGGTACTGGAATAACACTGAGTTCAGGCTGAGTTCAGGGGGTATTTGTCACCTACAGACATTCAGGCTTTTGGTGACTTGTGTTGATTTTCTTGACCCTCAGGGAAGATCTAGAGCAACACCCTGGGGTCACAGACTGCCATTTCTGACCTACCCAAGGACAGCTCCAAATCCCACCACCACTGCTGGCCCCTCGGATACCATCACACTTATTAGCACATTCGAATTGCACAAACTTCATGACCTTGTTTCAGATCTCTGCCAACACACACCTCTCACCCCCACTGCCTTTTTTAGGGGAAAAGGCACATCTAACACAAGGTCTCGGGGGGAGAGCAGCCACGTTTGCCACCTCGAGTCACACAGCGCTCACCCATACAAACTTGGAGCGTGACAAAAAGCCTGACAATGTGGTCCTTCCACACTGGATCAGACCAAAGGCCCAGTGTCCCGTTTTCAATTTGTCCAGTGCTGCTGGTCAGGCAAATCAACAACCTGCTTATTAGCTGGCCTCCTGCTTTCTGGCAATCAGAAATTAGAGAATTCTTAGTTCAGGACCGCCTGCTTCTGGACCACTGTGTTTCAGGCTCAGGGAAGCATCTTTCCTCCACTCATTTTGCTCCTCATTTAACATAATTCTGTTGTTGACCTCTGAGTTTTTGCACTGAGAGGCTTGCTCCTCTATTTAAATACGCACTATGTGAAATGAAATTTCTTTGTGAGGAGGCTTTTTTTGACTTCCATTGTATCCTGCTACCCTGTCCCTCTCCCAGGTCTCCCTTGTGTAAAAGTGGTGCTGTACCACCGATCTGGTTGCCTTTGTGGCTAACATGGGGAGAAAAGACAGGGAAGTGGCCAGGCATCTGTCTTTTTCACAGGTCCAGGATGTAAGTAGCCAGTAAAAAGTGGTGTGTGGATGGTAGCCTTCTGACTGCATCTCTAAAATCTCCCCATGAGGGAGCTCCACAGCTGGGATGGATAATGCTCAGACACCCTCTCCCGTACAGCCCAAGTCTTCAGCCTTTACGGGCGTGCAGTGGATATGAGCCTAAACGTTTGAGATGCAGCGAGTCTGTAGTCATGCCACACATGATTTAGTGAATAACTGATGCAAGGCAAAAAGATGGCAGAGCTCTGTGATCTAACAGCTGTGCAAACAGGCTAAAGAACTTAAAATTCGGGAAGCTGTATCTCCAGGAAAGCATTTTAAAAAAAAAATCCCTAGTGCCACATCTGGTGGCATCAAATTGTCATTATGACATGGTATTTAAGATGATTTAATGGGTTTATTGCCAAGTAAGAACCTTGGAGTTTGCTTAAACTACTGTGCATTAAAAGGATGTAACTCTTTAAATGATATTCTGACAAAGTACTGCCTAAACAGTTCATTATCTTTCAGGAACACACACATATGTACATCAGCATGTGTGTATATGGAAATAAATAGGTCAATAGACAGAAAGATGAATAGAGCTGCACATCTACATACACATCATGTATTTAAGGATACACTACAGCACCCATGTGTTGTGAGAGCTATCTTTTGGAAAAAATCACTCACTCCCCTTTCTGCCCCTCTCTTCTACACCTCATACATCCATACAGCAGGCAAGATTTCTGTCCACCTTAATTACTTCTCACTTAGGGCACTGAATCAATGGGTGGTTTTGAAACAAAGGATTCAGCTACTAAAAACAGCCTGGGAGAGTGCCTGGGAAAGGTTACTGATTATAGATGACTTCTAAGAAAAGGTGTCCAGAAAAAGAAAAGGTGTGCCTTTTACTTGCTGAATATTTTTAATGTGACTTAGTGTTTCTCTCACCTTTAGTTCCCGGAACAGTTCTCATTTCCTCTGAATGTTCTGACTTCTTATCTCAGGCTCTTTCAGCTTGTTGATTTTAAATTCAGTCTGGCTAATTCAAATTCAAGGCACGCTGCTCCTGAAGTCTTTCACCGTCTTCTGATTCCACAGAATGGGCCTGTTAATGGTATGAGGTTTTGTCAGTGAGGAACGGTGCAAACTTCCTTTTACACTCATTCCTTTCATACTAGATTGACGCGACACATTGCGAGCCAGTCTGACAACCTTGCTTTGGGCGTCTGGCTGCGGTGGTTCTGCCTGCACTGGCTGTGTACAGAGGGAGGTTTCCAACCAAAGCTGCCCTGATGCGCACCTTGGGATGGATGCTCTAAGTGAGCAATAAGGATCACCACCCGCGGGATGGTGCGATGGAGCAGATTTGTCCAACCAGACAAATTCCTGAACAATTCTATCAAGTCGCCGTGAGCTTTTCCATCACCTGTGGCAATTTTCCACCATCAACGCATTTGCCTTTTAACAGGTGAATAACTGTCAAAGCACCATCAACCCTGCGTGCATCTAACATGAAAGCACTAACGGCAGCTTTTCTCTGATCCAGGCTCAATAAACTGGTTTGCTACCAGAAGTGACCTGGACCCAGTGGCACAGACCTTAACCCATGCCAAGTGAGCCATCAAACCCCTGCAGCGACAAGCCCACACTGCTCATGAAGCACTGTCTACACCTGCCCTGAGCCTCTGCTGATGATCCCCCTCCACGCTGACAGGCTGCCCTGTAACACTTTGCTACCTCTTTACATCTCTGACTTTAATTTCTATGTATCTATAACAAATTACATTTATTTTTCATTTATTTTTTTCCCTTGCAAAAAGCAGGAAGGAAGCAGGAGTTTGTTTCTTCTGAAAGCAAGTCAGCTTCATTTCAAAATCAGAAGAGGTCTCCAACAGCCAAAGGGCTGGTTTTCCTCTCCCTTTTTTTTTTTCCTAAGGGTTTGATAGTGAATAATTGGAAGAAGGAAAAAAATTACCTCAGGTTGTATATTGCCACTTCCTCTTGCATTGCAGTTAATGCAAACCTTTGATTAGCCTGCTGAAGAGACCACACATTCAATAATTTGAAGCAAAAGGTTAATGGTGTTATTACAACTATTATCCCTTTTAAAATCATTATCCTCTTGTTTTTTATGTCTATATTACCTTCACCTTTCCATGAACCCACTTTACCAGCTGTTTCCCTCTGTCATAAAGTTTGCTGAACATCATCCTAGGAATAGGATAAATGCCATGTTTTATCAATCAAGCCTAAGGGAATTCTCAGCTTCTCATAACCCAAACTGTAAAGGGAGATTATTACAAAGTTTCTATTTTGATTTTTTAAATTGGCCATGAGTGAAATATACACTTAATGTCAAGGTGCAGAACGTTGGAGTTATGATACCATTTTTCTTGGGAAGTTTTACAGATTAGCAAAGTATGAAAACTGAAGACTTAGAAGAGATTAATCAATTAATTTTAAATTGGTTATTTATTAGAAGGACAGATAGTCCCAAGCAAAAACGCACAGAATGACCAAAACAAAGATAATGTGCTAAACTACGGTGATAACCAGCCCCATTTCTAAAGCACCTTCCCAACTTAGCATCGTAAATCCTACTGGCTTTCAGGAAGCTTTACACTCCTGTGCCTCACACTGGAAAATGTGAATTAACTTCCTAAACTTTCACAGTGAGATTTACCTCTAAATCCATGGCAGTGTCTGAGACGTGTCTGAAAATGCTCCTTTCTCTCCAAAGGTGCTAAGAGGATCCAGATTGTCTAAGTTCAGCCACCTCAAGTCAGTTGCTCCATCAACATTTGAGCTAAATCTTTGCTCTTGGTAAATTAACTTCCTGGTGCAGTTGTTTTACAGTTGGCATCTTCTGTAACCCAGCTCTGTGGTTTTTAGATCCTGTGGACACCAAGAGTCAGGGTCTTTATCAGTTACACACCGAGCCCAAGACCTACAATTGGGCCTAAAAGAACATGTCTACACAGAAGAGATTCCCAGTGAACTTAATTAAGTAAAAAAAATAAAGTGTGGAGGAAATGAAAGGCCTTAAAACAATCAACATTTTTAAGTGCTCAGACTTCATTATGCAAATAAAAATATCACACTCTTCCTGGAATTTGAAAAGAATCTGTTAATGATAATGCCTCTACATGAAAATACATTCTTTGCAGAAAAAGCAACAGTGCAGCATTTACTGAGCTCTTAGTAAAATAAATGAAGTGCTCTGTGATTGCTTCCTTTGAACACGGAAAAATACAGGTAGCGCATACTAATGTTTCCCAACAATAGTGTCTATCAGGGAAAAGCTGTGATCTGCACAGGTATTTAAGCAGAACAAAATGTAGGCTCTGCCTGTGCCATTTTTATAATCATGGATGCCCAGGAGAAGTTAATGCCTGTATAACTCCGAGAATTTGTGGCAGCAGAAGTGACAGTTTTCTTTTTCTCTTTTTTTAAATTCTGAACATTTTGCTACCAACTTCTGAGTGGCAATTCAAGAATAAAAAAGGGGAAAAATTGCCCACGTGAAAGATGTAATAAGAAGCAAATTCCCACTATAAAAGTCCTATGATTGACGTGATCTTGTCATTATCATTGAAAATAATCTTCTGGTGTGTTATAATGACAAGAGGATGCGTAATGTTATTCTGATACAAGAAAAGACTGTGTACATTCATTGATCCAAAGAATTCTAATTCACCCCATGGAGGAAGATAAGAATCACAACAGCAGGCAGTTAAAAGTCCATCTAGCCCTGTATCCTGGCTCTGATAATGCCTAATACTTCATATTTCAGAAGAAAGTGTCAAAACAGGAGCCTCATTGTGAGCACGTCTGAAAATGAACAGTATTAATAGTGTGTTCTTATCTCCTGTGCCTTTCACGGCAAGCTGACCATTATTGGCTTCCACAACAACAGTTACCATAGCGAGCGAGCTTTATGGGTGTTCTCTTTTTCTTTTATACAGATATATTTATGCATATGTATGTATACATGCATATATATGCATTTCTGTAACACTCATGCAGTAACTGAAATGCTAAAAAGTCCCAACCTTTTCGTACATTTAATAATAATTTGTGTGCTTTATTTTAAAAGGAAATACAGGCTTAACCAGCTATTGTCAGCCCAGGCTTTTCATTTTGGTTTTAACCCCAGCTTGAACTGGTTACTGAGAAATTTCTCAAGAAATATTTAAATATTTTTCAATGTGGTTAACCCACTAATGGTTTTAAAAAACCACCTGGGAAAGTTTAAACGCAGACTCCCATGTCTGGGGAAAAGGGTATCATGATGCAAGGCATAAAAGGTTCAACTTCTTCAGCTTCTCAAAGGAAAGGTTTGGGAGGATGAAAACGTGATAGATATCTAGAAAAATTCAGTAAGGTGAACGAGTCAACCTCATACAAAGTAGCAAAATAATACCCTATTATTTAGAAACTAATAATCTCTATCTTGAATTAAAACACCAGATGAATAAAACCCAGAGGAGACTACAAAGAATAACGGTGTTGCCATGTCCTGGCACCTGTAGGGCAAGATTCAGTATCTCTCCAGGGTGTGTGCTCTGATCCGGTGTTTGTGAGTCTGTGCTTGTAGGCACATGAAGGGGGAAGAAGATGTGACTCAAATCATCCTGGTCTCCCCAGGTCCTGTGAAATTATTTGAGAGAGATTCAGACTCACTTCCGTAATGGGACATGCTCATAAAAGGTGCAGCTTTACCCTAAGACAATAATTATAATCAGATTTCATGCCTTGCAGCATCAGCTGGTCACCGGTAAATGTAAGAGGATTTTTCCCCCCTCAGTTTGTCAGTCAGCTTCCATCGCTGGGGGTGTTCCACCTTCCTCCACAGCACTGGAGGCAGAAGCTCAACATCCTCTCTTGTGACACTAAGAATATCCTTGGTTGACCAGATGACATGCTTTGCTTACAGGTCCAAGGTTATTCTGGTCACCAGATTTGAGAAAGATTGTTAAGGAGCTTGGTTGTTTTGGGATATGCTTGCTTTTCTGCTGCCTTCTGCCATCCAGGTTGATCTTTTGATGGGACCATGTGAGGAGAGCTCATAGGGAGAGGTTGTTAAGGAGCTTGGTTGTTTTGGGATATGCTTGCTTTTCTGCTGCCTTCTGCCATCCAGGTTGATCTTTTGATGGGACCATGTGAGGAGAGCTCACCTCCACCCACCTTACCAGGGATGGTGCCCTGCTTTCATTTGTTTCCTTCTGTGCCAGGCATTGCAACTATACCATAACCGAAATACTGGCTGGGCCTTTAAGCTTGAGCAAAAGCCAGCAAGGAGAACTTGCTAAAATAGCAGTAGAAGCCAATTAACCCTGTTCTAAGTTAAAGGACACGTTCCCATCAGCAGGGCTCGACTGCCATCCCAGGCTGCTCCCTGTCCTACCAACCACTCATGTCATCTCAGGCTGCTGACTCCCCTTTCCATCCACTGTAGTTCTTACTCTACATTCCCTTTTGGTATAAAGCACCCCATTATCTGCATTTGCTGCTGAAGTAATATCTTCCTAAGCCTGGGCAACAACAGCAGCCATCAGAAAGAGAGCTATGAAAAAAGCAACACTTCACGTGGAGCACTTCTACCTCTGTTAATTGCTGTGTTGTTGGACCATGCTGAGGGCCACACACAGCGTGAGGGTGACTTCTACCAGATCCTGTCCAGCAACTAGCACACGTGGAACCATCTCTACAATGATTTGGGACATGCCCTCTGTATTTTCTCAGAGCCAGGATCCCACGTCATTGCTCGGTGAGAACTGGTAGGGCTGAAGAGTCACCACAAGGCACACATTCCTGTTTACAGGAATGCTCTAGTTCAGATCCAGGCATGCACTTCCCTTCAGGGTGAGGTTTTCTGGTATGAGATTCAGGTTCATCTCGAGTTCAAACTTTTTCAGTTTAAATTAAAAAACTAGCACTTTACAAAGCCCTCAAAACCCTCAAATTACAGCACATAGAAGAAACCAGCTAAAGCAGAACATAACTAAGAACCCAAATGAGTTTGTTAATTCCCCTTTCCCTTTCTAGCTATTCATTCCCTTGAGCGGGAACACCAAACCACGATCCACACATGAATAATGCAGCTGCTGTTTCAGAGTTGATTCAACAACAGAAATCTGTATCCTCCCTCTTCGTCACAGATTTATAGGAACAGTTCTGACCACCTTGCTTTGAAGTCGCTGAAATGCAGAGGGGTACACGTTACAATTGTAGGAAGCTCTTCCTCCAGAGGAGCACTTCCAGAAGGCCACTTTAATTGTGCAGGCGCCACTACTGCTGATAAATCTTTCTGTCCTCAGGGGACACCGGGATGAAGGGATGTTCTAACCACATCCATTTTTCTCTACTCACACTCCTTGCAAAGCCTGTAGTAGCTGTAAACAGCCAAAGCCACCCTCAAGCTGGCCTGTGCCACCCAGCCGGGAGCTGGATTTAGATCACTCTTCTCTAAGGGAACTAGCCGTAACAGCTCCTCAACCTGATTCACTATATAAATATTTAAGCAAACAACAGGTCACTCAAGTGTTCTCTTTACCAGTGCATGAAACAACACGATGGTCCATCACATGCTGGGATGCAATCCCAGTGTGTTGGGCTGGGAACTGGCATGGGGATCCTTGCCCTGTGGGCAGGCTCCCTCAGGAGATTGTTCATCTGGAGGTGAGGGGGAAGGTCCTCACACCGTGCTGCCACTGAACGTGGAAAGGACCCTTGGCAGTTTGCACCACAACCTTTTCCTCCACCCCCACTCTCTCAACCCAGGGTCGAGACGCACCTCTCCCACCCCTCGGTAGGCGAGTCGAGGGTAGGAGCTGCTGGATGAACAAACACTCAGTGCATGAGCCTTCACAGTTTGGTTCTCAGTCATCAACCTACTCGGTCCCTGCTCTGCCCCAGATTTCCATTCCCAAACATAACCTTGTATTAAGATTAGTCCTTTGGCCTTCAACCCAATCGCACCTTGTCTGACGGGCTGTGTGAGCAAACACCCGCTAAGATAAAATGTGCAGCTTGAGATTCCTGGGCCAAGTACCTCAGTATTTGCTTTTCTCAACGTACCACGTATGGCACGATTCCTAAAAACGTGCTCACTGGTGTTTTACACCTCGGCAGTGGTGACATATCAGACTAGCTGGGCACTGCGTTTGCAGCAGCTTTTGGAAAAGCATCTCTGGCTCCTTGCAATCTCCTCTCTGTAAACATCACTTAATTGTCTAAGAAAAATTTGGCTGACCTTTCAATTACTGGTAATAGAATAAAAGCAATAAAAGACTACATGACAGCAAGTGTCACCAATACCCATTCCTCGCCTTCCTGTGCTGATTAGGAGTGCCAGGGAGAATTCACACTCCGCTCCAGGGCTGCATTTTTGGCACAGCACTGATAAAGGAACTCACTGGGAAAAGGCCAGGAACTAGGGAAAGGAATGGCCTCCCATCCCTCCCGGTCCTGACTCCATAAACAAGCCCAGAGAGAGTAATATCTGTCAGAAAAGTCTATATTCTGAGGGCTTTTGGGGAACTTACAGAGTCCATAGTATCTGCTGTCAGGGGTAAACACTGCTCTCATCCAACTGCTTTCTAACGCCTGTCAGACAAGCTGAGATAGTTGAAACTATTTGCAGATAAAGGACGAGGTGTACGGGCAAATCCTCCCTTCCACACAGAAAGAAGGTTTCCACACTTCACCGCCCCTGTGAGGCCCCCACTCAAGCAGAGCCTCTCTCATGGCTCTTCCACTGAACTCAACTGCAGCTCAGTCACTAGGTTTTTCCCCTCTGTTGTGTTTGGTAATGAATAAGAAAGACACTTTAACGGATGTTACAGTACAGCAATCTCAAATAAGAAATGCACAGTTCGTAAATGAGCTGTTAGCAGCTCTCATGAACACTTCTCAAAGCCCTCCAGTAGCAAAAATAGCTGTTCACTCTCTAAACTGTCAGGCTATTGATTAAGATCAGAAAGGCTTAGTTGGCAAACTCCTGGTGCTGGTGCCCGACTCATGATTAAGAGCTCTCTCTCAGTTCCCTTCGAGCAGGAAGAGGACAGCAAATACTGTTTTTCACTTCCTTCCCAGTCACAGCTTGGATCCCTGAAAACCAGAGGCCTTCTTGGCAGAGGTTGCTGTTGCTAAGACCAATTGTTATCTTGTATCTTCCACAGAAATGGTTATTTATAGATCAGGTGTCCTTCACTGCCTGGAAACTTGGAAGTTTACGATACTTGCAGAAACTCTTCTGGTAGGTTCAAGCCCTGATAGCCTATTTTCAATATGTGCACTGAAATTAGTTAAAAATAATTATTACACATAGAAGCTTACACTGTCAGATTCATCTAAATTCAGTGATCTGACCACAGCCATCATTTCCAAATTAACCAGCAGAGCTAGGGTATTACCAGCCACTGGAGGAAGATCATCTCCTTCCTTCAAGAGAAGGTCTGTGATTATTGCTAGAACCGTTCACGTCTTTGTGGATACTCTCAAACGAGATGGACCTTTGTGTGTTCTTTACTCTTAGAGGCTAACTTGTGCATTAATTAACTTGTTCAGGCAGCTCTTTCTTACATAGTCCTGAATAAAGTGGCAAAATAAGTTAAATGAAAATATAATCAAGCATGTTAATATATCTCTTCCTCTTTCACACCTACCCCCCCACACAAACATCCAGTCGCACACATACACCCACGCTGTCTGAGTGTTCATCTTCTGTTCCTTCCTTCTGGCTCATCAGAGACTGAAATAGTGATGTGGTGGTTTCCACCACTCATGCTACAACTTCACTGCTGTTGGCCCGTTAAAATGCCTCCTGCACAAGAAGGTATTCTCAGGATGGATGGATGAGAAAACCAATTACCCCGTGATAATTTCAACAAGTTCTGGTCTTTGAAAACCGCTGGGAAAAAAGTATATGAAAGGGCAAACAATCATCTGGAACTAGTATCATCTGACTGCGACAGACCATTCCTATTAATTGCGTCCTCTATGGGCTAATTGTTCGAGTTATTCAAGCCTCTTAACTCTCACTAATTCTGTATAATGTTTTCTTTCATATGCAATTGTCCATGTTTATTCATTTCCCTATCTAGCTCATTTGCACTTGCAAAGAATAAATGGGAATGAATGGTTGCATAATATCCCTAAGAGAATTAATTACTTTTATACAGGATCTTATTCATACAGGAAAAAAAGGGAGGTGTGAGATTTTGGTGGTTTTTTCCTTTCCATCATACTTTCAGTATCAGTTACAAGAAATTGCACACACACTTCGTACCTAAGCAAATTTAGCAAATAAGCAAATACACAATATGCACACCCAAGCACGTTCTGTCGGCTGGCGACAAAACTAACCTGATACTTGCTAATGTAAAAAACTGAATATAAGGAAAACATGCAAAACCATACATCACAATTCCCAACTATAGTGCAACATTGGCAGTTTCTGTGAAAACTATTTCAAAAAGTACAAAGGGATACGAATATCCCAAAATTCTTTAAATATTTTAACAACCATCACGGCATTATTTTCTTTAGTTACATAGTTCTTCATTGTCAACTGGGAAACCCGTGGCCAAGGGTCCAAATAAAGCCTGAGTTCACCCCAGCTGTGACCACTTTACTTTTCCCCACATTATTATTGATTAACATGGAGGTGTGCGTTAACTTGTAACCTACAAAAGGTGTTCAAAAAGCCCACCTTGCTCTCAGCAAGGGCAAGTTCTTCATCACAGAAGTAATTCTAAATAGGAGCCTACATTTCACAGCAAAGGATATCACAAGGGCATGCCAGGGATTCTGAGGAAGCCGGACGTTATCTAGTAAGTTGTTTAAGAGGCAAGGCTCTGAGTCTGGAAAACATTTTTTGCTAATTTCAGTAATTAACTGAGTCAGCTGGGAAACACCGGGCTGGTGTTGTCCAGCGCTCCAGAGGGAGGGAGGCATGCAGGAAGATGCAGGAGTCAGAAGCTTCACGCAGGCAGGTGACTTGGAGCGGGAAATGACTCCTTCATTACCAATGGAAATGCTGGCAGACCATTCACCACACACGCCTTCAGGAAGATGCACTACTACCAGCTCACACAATCGTAAAATATGACACTTCCTAGCACAAAATTAATTTTAGTACCTGGCCAGTATATGCAAAACATTTCATTTTGTAACGTGTATTGGGTTGGACCTGGGGCTGGAGCTGTGGCAGCTGCACCTCTGTTGGGCTGCTGGATCTGACCACACTCACCCATCAATACAGACATATTTACCACTTTTCTGATATATGCTGGGGTTTTTTTCCCAATCTTGTACTTCTAAAAATTGGAAATAACAGCACACTCTGCATTTATTCGAGTGGATAAATCTTACCTACAGCCTGTTTGTATGGAGAGGTTTACACCCCACTGCTCAGGTGTGACGGCATGCGGCTCGCTGTAGCCATTTTGTAACCATCCAGTTACAAAACGAGGGGTTGTAGAAACAGCCTCCTGAACCGGGCACCCCTTGGTTTACAACGGGCAGAAGAACCCGGTAGCCGTGCGGACAGCGAGGCTTCGGGGCCAGGCAGGACAGCCCCCTCAGAGCGAGTCCCTCACAGAGCGAGCCCCTCACCTCCCGCCCAACGGCAACAAAGGGGCTCGGGCAGGCAGCACGGAGCTCCCGAAGAAACCCCCGCGCAGAGCGGCGGGGCAGCGGCAGTAACGCTCTGAGCCACCTCGGCTGCGGCGGGGACGGGCCGAGCCAGAACAGTCTCTCACTGCCTCAGCCGCCATGACAGTAACCGAGGCCCACCGAGGGCCCGAGGCCTGCGCGCGGCGCGGGGCCAACCACCCCGCGGGGCTGCCAAAACGGTGGCTACAGCCAGGGGGCAGGACACCGGGGGCGGGACACCGAGGCCCGGGATCCGCCGAGGCCGCGCTGCGCGGGCCCTCCCCATCGGGCTGAGCGAGGGCGGCCGCAGCCAGCCCACCCGCCCAGGCCTCACCTCCCCTCAGCGCCCGGCCCCTCGCGCCGCCCCGGCCCCTCGCGCCGCCCCTTTCCTACCTGTTTATCCACGGGCTGTGCACGTGGTAGCCGTGCCGCGCCATTGGCCCGCTCACCGGGGAGCTGCGGCCACCCGGCCAATCGGGGCGCTGTCCACGCGCGGCCGTCCGCACCCGATTGGTCTCGCGGCCGCGATCACGCAGCGTGACGCACTCCGAGTGTGCGCCCGCAGAGGAACCAATGAGGAGGGGGCCCCAGGGCAGCCCGCGACGAATAGTAGAGCGAGTAGCTGAGGGGTGGCCAATGAGGAGCGGGCCGGGGCGGGACTTTCCGCTGCGGGCGCTGGCGGTGACGGGCGGGTTTTAAAGCAACCGTCGACGGCGGCCGCAGGCTTCCCCCGCAGCCGGGGAGCGATGGCGGCGGCCGGGCCGGGCCCGGGCCCCGGGGCCGGCGGGGCGGTGAAGACGCTGGCCCTGGTACTGGAGGACGAGGCCCGGCGCGGCGGCGGGGGCGGCGGCGGCTACTGCAGCGGGGACACGGTGTCCGGGCAGGTGCTGCTGG